TCACACAGGTTGGGAGGCTTGTAGATTGTGACCCGTCAAGAGGGGCAAGGAGCATCCAACAGAAATGCCAGAAGTCCTGCTTTAAGAGCTAAACTGCTAACTTGGTCCGTTCCTACATGCTTACCTTAGCAGAGTTTATAAGAACAAGTCTCAGAAGGACAAACTGAATCTAATCTAACTTTGGCGTCCTAGTGTAGGATAAGTACGGGACCGCAAGGTCGGTTTGAACCGAAAGTTTGGTGGTTCAAATCCACCAGTTGCTCCTCAGAAACCTTATACAGGGTTGCTATGAGTCAGAACGTTAACTGCCTACAAAACATAGCCTGTTTAAAGGAAAAGAACATAATCTATGTTTCAACTCCATAATAAATGCTGGCTATCCAACAAAAAATTGCTACATATGCCAAGAGGCAAGAAAATATCATTACAGAAATACAATCAGAAAAATGCAGACCACAGGAAACTATGGAATAAAGAATCTAGTTTAAAAAAACAAATACATGACAAGGAAAAAGTATGCTGGATGGCTTTTATCATACCAACACTCTGAGAGTAATAAGAAAGCCAGATTACATTTCAAAACAAAACAAAAAACCCCTCAAAGAGGCCAAGAGATGGATTACAACAATGACAATGTCGAGGAACCAAGATTCCAGGCAGGAAAGTACCATGAAGGTGAGGCTCACATTCTGCAGTTGCTTTTCTCCTGTGGACACTTGCAGATTCTGGAAAGGATGCCTAGAATTTGGACGTCGCCTCAATATAGAGAGCCACCAATTGTGGACAGAAAATGAGCAGAGCTTTTGGGAGTTTTGTAGAGTCAAATTCCCAGGGATAAGAGAACAGAGAAATAAACATGGCACATGTCCGTTTCCCACCATTCTAAGACATTTGCCAAATTCTGGAGCTGTGAAGGGTAGGAGGCTAAGAAGTTAAGTAAATAGCCTCTGAAAGTAGAGAGGAGCTTTCAGCAGCCTCACCTTGAAAGAAATTAAGAACTCAGGTTCAGGATATGCTGGGAGAAGGCACTGATCAATACACCATCTTCTCAGCTACAAGTATGGGTTCCTATGAAGGAACCACAGATGAACAGAACCTTACTAAAACCACAACCAAACAACAATGCAGCTCAATCCCTGCCTGGATTAAGTTGCTTACCCTCCATTCTATATGTCTGCTGTTGCTGTTAGGCACTATCAAGGTGGTTCCGACTCCTAACTACCCTGATAGGGTTTCTGAGGCTGTAAATCTTCATGGGAGCACAAAGTCTCATCTTTCTCCTGCGGACTGACTGGGAGATTTGAAATGCTGACCTTGTGGTTCTCAGTCTAGTTCATATTCTACAGGGTCATCAGCACTCTCATTCTACATGTCTGTCATTGTTCAGTGTCATGAAGTTGGTTCAGTCTTATAATGACCCTGTCTGTATAGGGTTTCTGAGGAGCATCTGGACAGTTTGAACTGCTACCCAGTGGACAATAGTTCAGTACTTATTCAACATGTCTGTTGTTGTTGATAAGTGCCGTCAGGTTGGTTCTGACTCATAGTGACCCTGTACAAGCTTTCCAGGCCTTCTGGAGTGGCACTGTAGGATAAGCACAGTATGGCAAGGTCACTCCTCAGAAATCTTATACTGGGTCACTATGAGAGGGAACAGACTTGCCGGCACTTAACAATAACAACACAGGGCTTCCAAGGAATGGCTAATGAGTTTAAACTGCTGACCTTGCAGTTTAAACAACTGACTTGAAGGTCGAGTGCTTACCCTATGGCACCATACCAGAAGTCCTGGAAACCCACACCAGGACTCTATTCTACATGTCTCTATATATTCTATATGTCTAGCAGAGATAAAAGGTGAACCCTCGCTAGAGAAAGATCATCACCAGAACATCAACAACTCCTTTAAAAAACAAACCAAACCAAACACAATATACAACACAGATAAACACAAAATATACAAGACCTATACTGACCCCGATTTTGGAGTAAGGAGAGCCAAGGATTTTAAGGAATTACGACTGATCTTTTCAGGAAAATATGGAGAAGATGGAAGAAAAGATCACAAAGGTGTAAGTACAAAAAAAAAAAAAAAAAAAAAAAAATAAAAATGGAAACTTTAGAATTCAACCATTGATTAATTTGACATCGTATCAGACACAACAAGAGAGAGGCTACATTAGCTGTCAGGTTAACAGGACTTATACAAGCTAACAAACAAGAGAGAAAAAGGGATGGAAACTGCAAAACAGCACACACAGGACAGGCCGTGTGGAAGCATGGCGGTACAGCTCAATGTATTTGAAATTGGGGATCCCTTGGATTAGGGAGAAAGAATGGGGCAAGAGCAATATTTGAAGAAATAATGGCCACATTTTTGTCAAAAGTGATTAAAGATATTAACTCACAAACTCAAGAGGCTCTACAAAACTCCAAATGGATGAAAGCACAAAGAAATCATTCCTGAGATATCATAACTGTTCAAGGTATAAAGAAAAAGAGATTAAAGAGGAAACCTGTATAAGATTTTAAATGACATAAAACTCCCTTATTTACCTGGATTTTGATTCAAGCAAACTAAAAATCATTTATGAAAGAATCTTGGAAATCTGAACAAATTATTTGATAATATTAAGAGACTCACAGCTAAAATATACATGATGAGCAACCATTATTGACCACAGGCAGTACTCATACCGGCCAATCTTAAAGCAGCCTTAACCTGCAATATATAAGAACCTGATGTGGTGCTAAAGGATAAGCACTGGACTGCTAACCACAATGTCAGCAGTTCAAACCCGCCAGCTACTCCCTGGAAATCCTATGCCAGGTCACTATGAGTCAGAATCAACTCAGTGGCACTCAACAATAATAGCAATAACAGTATTAAAACCTTTTGCTCAGTAAACATCTCTTACAAAATAGACCCCAAGAAAGCAGTGGCGGTGGTAGTAGTAGTGGCTGTGTGCCACCAAGTCCATTCTGACTCACAGAGGCCCAGGAAGACCAGTTAATACCACTATTATTCAAATTTACACACCAAACACTAAAGCCAATGAGGATGAAACAGAAATATTCTACCAACTTCTTCAATCTGAAATTGATCAAGCATGCAATCAAGATTACTGGTGATTGGAATGCAAAGGTTGGAAACAAAGACGAAGGATCAGTAGTTGGAAAATATGGCCTTGGTGATAGAAACGATGCTGGAGATCACATGATAGAATTCTGGAAAATCGATGATTTGTTCATTTCAAATACCTTCTTTAGACAGCTTGTTGTTGTTGTTAAGTGCCGTCGAGTCAGTTCAGACTCATAGCGACCCTATTAAAGAGACGATTATACACATGGACCTCACCAGATGGAATACAAAGAAAATCAGCTCTTCTAACCATTAATTCCCAAACTTTGATGTTTCCCATTGCCAAACTATGTACAAGTAAACGAAAGAATTAAAGCAATGTAGCAAACAATTATCTCATAAAGACTGACAGTTTCCGAAGAAGCCCTAATTACAGGGTCATTGTTATGTTAGTCAGAACCATCTCCATCAGTATTACAATTAAAACATGGTATAGGAGAGGACTCATTTTCCCCATGAATGTTCCCAATTTCCTTGGATCATATATAAATCTCCTAATCTCAAAGCTGACCTCTCCACCAAACTGACAGTCACTCACCATGTCTAGTGATTTTTCCCTAGCCAGAGCTTTACAGCTCTTAGACCATGTGTCCTCTTGAATTACTACTATTAGTCTCTCTCTTTTCTGCTAACCCATCATGTACCAACCAATCCATCAAAAATATGGAGTCCTGGTGTGGCGCTGTGGGTTAATTCGTCAGACTGCAAAGCCGTTTGAATTGCAAAGTTGGCGGTTCAAACTCAACAGCTGTTCCTCGGAAACCCTATACAGGGTTGTCATGGGTTGGAACAGCCTCGACGGCAAATAACAAAATCATAAATATAAGACTACTTCCAGATTTATCTTCCTCAAAAACCTAAAATCCTAATCAATCAGTTTTGACATTCAAGGCTTTTCATTATCTATTGATAGATTTTAGTATTGCTTGTTTCGAACAAATATCTCTTACTGAACCGTTTGGCTAAGATTTAGCAATCATATAAAAACAACCTTTTTAGGAATACAATGAAATGTTACTGCACTGAATGCAAATCTTAACTGTAAAATAGTCTAATTCCCGAAATGCTGGCTGAACCATATAGAATAAATTTCTTTTTCATAATCATAGCAACTGATGAGATTTCTAAAATTGGTTTTACACTTGGTTTTGAAATACAGTGCAGACAAGTTAAAATGTAGATCAGCCAATAATACTGTCATTAAGCTTTTTTCTTAAAACATTTTTTATGCTGGTATTTACTAAACGTAATACAGAAATGTCTGCAAGCATACACTGACAGAGTTAACCACTGCATGATACTAATTTTACTGGCGTATTACACTTCATTCATTTTGGAATAAAGCCAACTCTTTCAAATTTCCAGAATCAGCAAACAATCAACTTAAAACTTACCTACAACTGTGATTCAATATTCATTTTCTCAATGAAGGTCAAACATATTCGTTTTGTATAATCAGTTTAGAAATTTTATTTAAGATTCTAATTCTAAGATGAAAACATCCTACACTATTTTCAGTGATAATCAGTGCAGGTGAAAAAGCACACAAGTTACCTTCAAGGGTTGTTGCTGGCTCCACTTAAATGTCCTCTCTCCTACTTTTATCAAAGAATTCAAGGCAACAGTTTCTAAACCTACCCAGAGAGTCACCTAGAAGGCTCCATGCACTATCCAACTAGAATCTCTAGGAAATAAGGCCCTGGAACCCAGTATTTTTTAAAAGGTCCCCATGAAACCTTGGTGGTCAGCCAAGTTTGGAAAACACTAGCTAAATGAAGCGAAGCTGGCAGGAGACTAATACCTCTGTCTAAGCGTCAGGCTCATTGTTTGACAATGACCAAGTCTCACTGGTACTGACCTTCTTGGAAAGAGGAACGATGCTGTTAGGTCGAACAAGCCTCCGCTTCTTACAGCTCAGTACAGGTCGTGTTCGGGCTGCCACACAGGTGCCATCAGATGACCAAGACACAAGATTCAGTCGTTGCTTTTTATGTAATTGTTCCTCAGCATCAGAACCATCTCCTGGAATGTGGTCCGTCAAAACAGGCTGCAGACTGTACAAAAGGAAGAAGAGATTTAACGTCTCAGAGAACCCAAGGAAACAAGGCCTCTCATACTGGTTCAAGGTCCTCTACTCGCAAAGGTTCCGTTACAAATAAGCATGTCATCACTTCGGAGGCTAATGTCTGTTTATCAAAGTGTGTGCGCGGTGTCTGTACCTATCTGGGAAGCTCTAGGTGCACATTAATAATGGCATCATGTCTGAAAAATATGACTGTCAATAAGTAAATTCAAAATGTAACGATGATCTCTTTTTTTTAACAAAAGCATGAGTAGCATTCTAGAAATTTGCAACTGTTAAAGGGTGAATTTTATGAAGGTAAACAGAACGTCTCTGAACAAGTTCTTCTATGAAACTAGACTTTAGGGACGTGTACGTGTTGTTTGGAGTCCTGGTGTGGCACTGTAGGATATAAGCATTTGACTGCAATGTTGGTTTGAATTACAGGTCAGCAGCTCAAATCCATCAGCTACTCCTTGGAAACTCTATACAGGGTCGCTATGAGTTGCAACAGACTTGACAGCACTTAACAACAACAACTATAAGAGGCCTGGTGTGGCGCTGTAGGATCAACACTGGACTGCTAAACACAAGATTAACAGTTCAAACCCACCAGTCACTCATCGGAAACCCTACACAGGATCACTATGAGGCAGAACTGATTCGATATAGGAGAGGACTCATTTTCCCCATGAATGTTCCCAATTTCCTTGGATCATATAATATGCTGGGAGAAGGCACTGATCAATACACCATCTTCTCAGCTACAAGTATGGGTTCCTATGAAGGAACCACAGATGAACAGAACCTTACTAAA